AGGCCGGGCAGCCCCCGGTGGTCCCCGCACGAGGCACGAGGCGGGACTCACTGGTTCTCGCACTCGGGGTTGCCCTGAGAGTAGAGTAGGTGCTTGAAGGGCCTGTGGGTGGGGAGCTCTGCCCCAACGGGAAGCGGGCGCGGGGAGGGGCCGCAACGCTGAGCCGCTGGGCCGCAGGGAGGCGCTTCCCCCTCCGCGATTTTTTCCCTTTTTTTCTTTATTGATTAAGTTATTACATATTTGTCCTTATTCCATGAAGGCGAAGGGGCTGCTCACCTTAAGCAGGCGGCTCCTGCCACGAGTGGACGGGCCCAGCCGCCACCCACCTTCCCTGCCATCCCCACTCCCCCTTTGAGCAGGTGGAGCTCCGCGGCGCTTTGCAGGAAGTCGTGCTGCAGCTCGGGAGGCTGCGGGACTTCTTCCCCTTCTCCCACACCACTTCCAACCTGGCGCTCACCACCTGCCGCCGCCTCCCGGCTTCAGCGACGGTAGGGAGCCCTGGGAGGGATGGTGAGGGGTGTGGGAGAGGGAGCGGACCTTCCCATGCTCGGCTCTAAGTACCTGGCTGCAAGAGGGAGGCCTGGCAGCGGACCCTCTCCGCACCCCGCCTGTGCCTGTGGCTCGGTGCTGTGTGGTCGTCAGGGGGGGCTTGGAGTTGGGAGGACCTCGCTGAGAAGGGACCTGCTGTGCGATAAGGTCTGGACCTGTCCAGCTTGGCCCAAGCCAGGATGGGACTGCGGGTTCCCTGAGAAGGTGTCCGTTCCCCCTTCCAGTCAGTCCCCTAATGAGGAAAGGAGGACTGACTGGGCATCTGCCCTTACTGATACCAGGAGCAGTTCCACTGGTCAAATCTAAAGCTGCCACTAACTTGTTTATGGAGGAATACAACCAGTCTTTTAAAAAGGGGGGTGGGGGCAGGGGTGGGGGCTTAATTTCTTTAAAAAAAAAAATCACAAGTGCTTCACAGTTTGTTTCTGACACCCATCTTCTACTCACTGGTTTGTTCCACACTGCAGATAAGGGAGAGCTTACTCCACATTGTCACCATCACCTGCTTGAGACTTGCTGCGAAGGTCGGTGAAGAAGAGGAGGTAGGCGCCCCTGGAGTCCACTCTGGACTGCTCTTGGAGGTCTCAGGGTGTAACACTGGAGCACTCAAGTTTCCTGTGTACTTGGGAATGGTGGGCATTTTGTCTTTGTTTTAAATATATTTTATTGATTACAGAGAGGGAAACGTCAGTGATGAGAGAGAATTATTGAATGGCTGCCTCCTGCAGGCCCCACACTGGGGATGGAGCCCGCAACCCAGGCATAAGCCATGACCAGGAATCTAACTGTGACCTCCTGGTTCATAGGTCGGTGCTCAACCACTGAGCCACACCAGCTGGGGAATGGTGGATATTTTGAAAAAGTTATTAACTTCCCATGATATCTGCTGTCCTTTCTTTTTTAAAAAAAATATGTTATTTATTTATTTTTGGGTGCCCTCAATGGGAATCGAACTGGTGACTTTTTGGTGCACAGAACGATGCTCAATCAACTGAGCCACACTGGCCAGGGCTCTGCTGTCCCTTCTTAGGCTTGTTGGACTCTGGGAGCCCACAAATGGAGAATCAGAACAGCTGCATCTCCTGGCCCCGCAAACCTGAGCTCCTGGCAAATAGATCTTGCCTCATTGGTTGATGCCAGATGCCACCACCCACTAAGCAGAAGCATCTGCTGTTGAGCTAAGAAAACGGCCTCACAAACCATGTGGCCTAATGTCCATGCCTGGACACTACATCTAAGAAAGGTGCTTGAGACTATAAGATGTGACTGTGCCCATGAAACTGGTCCTCAGGGATTCTTGGACCCTTTTTAGAGAAGAGCAGGGGTGGAGGAGAAGCCTGCACAAGAGCTCCAGGCTTGCTTCACTTCTAAGTTTCACTGTGGCTTCTCTCAGGAGAAGATCCTCTCCCAATGCCCTCCCCAGACCTCCCTCCCTCCCCTTTGGGTATACTGGAACCACTGCCACTTCCACGGGGTCTCCCTTAGTTGATCTCAGGGTCTGAGGGGATAGAAGAAGTCACTTGTGTCCAGTTCCAAACCTACAATGAAAATACTTTTAATTTTTGTTTAATATAATTTATGCCCCCAAAAGTTACTTTGCCCAACTAAAAATCAAGTAAGTGACCTTTAAAAGAAAGATTTCTAAAGGTTATAGTAATACTTTATCTAAAAAAGCAGAACCAAGTCTTTAATACACTTGGTACTTGAATGTTTACTTAGAGACAAGCCTTATTAGTCCGGGGGGGCGGGGGGATCAAAGTCTTTCCAAAACTGAACTGCCTTAAAACAAGGCTAAGGGGAATATGTTTGCAGCTATGGTGTTGCCAAAACCGAGGCTGTCTGCTGCAGACCACGGAACTCAAAAGCCTACTTTTTCTCTCTACCACAAGCAATCCTGGTAGGGCTCAGGAACAGGTCCTGGAGAGCTTTGGGTGAGTTCCTACCGCTGAACAGAGAAGATGGCATAGCCCCTGTCTCCAAAGCACCTTTGGGTGTGAGCTGAAGTACAGGTGGGACTCAAAAGCTGTTTGCAGAGGGTGACCATGTGATATTCACTACACATTGTAACAGCTACTGAGGGACTTGACAATCTAGATCTGGGTAGGTCTTTCCCTCAGAAGTAGTTTCTGTCAGGTCACTTGAAGACAATTCTATTAGGCTCACGGATGTCCAGCCCCATGGATAAGAAAACAAAAGCTACCATGACGTGTTACAGGGCTTTGGCCTCTTTATTGTCTTTTTACAGTTAATTCCACGCATAAAGGACTTCATCAAGTACTGCGGCTCTGACTATACCCCAAGTGAGGTGCTAAGGATGGAGCTGGCTATTTTGGACAAACTGCACTGGGATCGCTGTATTGGGACGCCGCTGGACTTCTTGAACATAGTGAGTACAGGGAGTTTGCAGAGTCTACCCTAGACTCATCTGTGCCTTTGGAACAGCTCACAACAAAGGACGGCCAGGCACACGCGTGCACACGTCCTTGCACATGCACCACAAAAAGGTGGCCCACAAGGCTCATGACATATGGAGCAGTGAAAATGTATCTTAAATCCAACACAGTTCCACCAGACTTCCACTTCTAAAGGACATTAGAGTAACTTTACAAAGAGTTTTAGACGGCACTATTATGGTGAGTTTCTCTTAAATACACATTGCAAAAATATTTAACTTTCCATTCTATGAATACTGTACATAAAAAGCTGTCTGCTCTTGTTACACTTTACACACATTCACTTAGCTGTCTTGATTCACCTACACACAATCCTTATTGAGGCTTTAGACCATATTGATCTGGCACTTAAAAATATCATATTAGTCGGTATTTGTGTTAGTTAGGGAATGATGGTCATCTTCAAGGATATGATTCTGTTAGTAAGGCAAAATTATGCAGTGTGGAAATGTCATGGGGTTTTGGTTTGTTATGAGGCATGAAGATTATATCACCAAGGGCTGTTTCATTATGAAAACTGGCCACTGTTGCCAAGTTGCAGTTTCTTCTCATATCAGGCAGATACAAGTAACTTTCCTGCTACTTCTCAGCATTGAAACATTGTTATCTGGGTACTTTGGGCCTCTTAAGGCCAAGTGAGAAAGCAGACTGCCTTTTCTCTCCAAGGTTGAAACTCAGCTTGACCACAGAATGGGCATGAAGCCTCGAGCCCCTTGTGGGGCCATGAATGGAAGTGAAAGGGACTGGGCAACATCTGATGCTCCCTGATGAAAATTTAAGTTGTTTGCACTTTTGGTCATTGATATATGAAAAGTATGGGGTTTTCTGTTCTAACATTAAAAACCACAATCTCCAGTTCCACGCCCTGGTGGTCGTGGGCTGGCCCCGCGTGGTGGAGCTGCTGCCTCAGAGGAATCCTTCCCTCCACGTCGCGTCCCTGACCAAGCAGCTGCAGCACTGCATGGCGGGCCACCAACTGCTGCAGTTCAAGGGCTCCACACTGGCCTTGGTCATCATCACCTTAGAGTTGGAGAGGCTCATGCCCGACTGGTGTGCTCCTATATCTGATCTGCTAAAGAAAGCACAGGTAGACATCAACTTTGCCCCCAGACCAAGCTCTCAGTTTTGTTCCCTGAGCTGCCATGCTCTGTCTCCAAAAGGGGACCCATGGCCCTGCTTGGCCCTTGGCCCAAGATGCTCTGGCCATGATGACTCTGTGAAGGGTCTGCCGCAGGGCGAGGCTCTCCGCACTTGGCATGCCCTCTGGACTTGGGTATGGGATACACGTTCCCCTCACTGGGCCCGTTGGTGGATTTCTCTGACAGTGAGAAAAGCTTTATCTTGGTGGCAGCCCTTATAGCCAAGAGGAGGGGGGCCGTGGTGTCCAGTTCAGAAGGAAGCAACCCAGAGCTTAATACTGAGGAGTGTACATTTCAGACCTCTCACCATCTATGAGTCTATGATCCCAGGCATTGGGGGGGGGGGGGGGGGGCAGAATCTCTGAGCCCCGGCCCGGGGGGGGGGGGGGGCGCGGTCAGAATCTCTCAGGATGGACAGAGTAGGGTGGAATGCATAGTTAGACTCATGACAGTTTTACTGGGGTTGGAGATGGGTGTCCCTGAGGTGGTAAGGTTAATGTGCTTAAGTTTTGTGATTGGACCCCTTTCTGAAATTGCTCCATGCTAACATCTGGACGCTCACCGCTCATTCCTTAGAATGTAAAGTGGTTCCGCACCAAGATGACCACTGTTTTAATTACAGGTCGGCATTGAGCAGTTTGTCCACTGCAGGATATTGGTAAAGCAGCAGCTGACAAGTTAGTTTAGTCCTCCTCCTGCACAGACAACTTTTTCTTTCACCTGCGCTCCTACCCCAGTGCCCTTCAGAGCGTAATGGCAACCTCTCCTTTGTTGGCCTCCTCTGAATTCTAGGCTGTATGGATTTTGTAACAAGAAAGGGAAAAAGTCCTAGAAGAACAACTGAGAAAAAAATTCCTGGGTCCTTAGAAGAAAATAAAGGGAAAAAAGGTTGGGGTCACTAGAGATAAGGGCCCTGCTCCCTTCTTTCCCCTGGACCTTTTCCCAGGGAGAATGAATGAGCGCTTACTTGGTTTTCCTTCCCCAGCAAGGGCTGGTATCAGCCCCAAGCGAGCTGGAGTATGAAGCCAGAGGAAGGCCTTGCTCAGGGCTGAAGGGCTGGGCTGGTTGTTTTTTGTTTTGTTTTGTGTGTTTTTTGTTTTAGGGCCAGGCTGGGTTTGACTGACCAGGTTTTGCTGCTCTCCCACCCAGAGCTGGCCAGGTCCTTCCGGCCTCCCAGGCTCATAGCAAGCACATGTGCAGCACCTCAAGCCCCAGCCAGCCTGCCTGCCACTGCAAAAATAGGACAGTCCCTCCAGATACAATTACCCTGATTTGGCCATGACTTATGTCTTCTCTTCACAAGGACTGTATTATAAAGTACGCTTTGTTTAATGTACGATAATTTGATCAAGCTTTAAGAATATTTTCCTTTTGTTACTCGTAAGCAATGTCGTTGATCGGCATAACTAGTGAAATTTTTATGCTGAAGAATATTACAAGGTGTGACCCCTGTGATGGGAGGTGCAGCTCCAAGAGCTTTTGTTGAGATGAGCAGGTTCTGAGGCCGAGCCTGCTCCAACCACAGTGCTGCCGCAAGGAGGAAGAGGAGGAGGAGGAGGTGATTAGCATGGCTGTGAGGGAGACGCCAGCTGCCTCTCTGAAGCTGGGACACTATAGAGCCATTTTTTAAGCAGTGGAGTCCAGCTGGCAGAGATGCCAGCTGGAGCTGTGTAAGTAGTGTTGGGATGTGAATGACTGAGCCACACATTTAGAGGTGGTTTGTGAAGTCTTTCCAATGTGAACAGTTTTTGTAAATGTGCCAAGCCATGGGGTGTATGACCTGCTACTGGGTGCAAAGTGGTCAAGGCCCAGATATTCTATAATAGTTGTCTGCACTGTAGTCAGTACTGATCCTGACCTTTTCTTGAAAAAAATTTGCTTGTTGGAGCTTTTGTTAAAATAAACTTTAAGTCCTTGCAACCCTGTCTGAATATTTTACATATAGTGGGTACCATGCACTTAGACTTGCTAGAGTCAGGCACAGTTGGAATACCATCTCCTGGGCCCCATCAATAATTGTCCTCAGCACAGATGGAGATGCCAAGAGCAGCATGTAGCTCATGGCCACAGCTCTCATCAGTGGCCAGGACTGTTCTCTGCCTCCTTCCCTCCACTGTCAGTGGGCACCGCAGTGGGTGGGGTGGGGCTCATCCTGAGCGCCCACACCAGCTCAGGCTACCTTTGACTTTGGGGAACTGGTGGGAGGTATCTGGACCTCTTAGATGGGTAGCTCTGGATGTAAGCTGAGTCCCCAGAGCGAATCCAACTCTGAATTTCAAAAGAGAAGGTAGATCTGTGAAGCCCAGTATTGGGCTAAAGGACAGCCTTGTGGCTCCATCTTTCTGTAAATAAAATTCCTCTTTTTGGGGGAAGCAAACTTCTGTATTGCCTAAGTACCATTTGTAAGTTAAAAAAATTTTTTTGGATGCTATTCAATATTGAGCTGGGGTCCCATCCTACTCTCCTCTAACATTTCCTTCTCTCTCTCTCTCTCTCTCTCTCTCTCTCTCTCTCTCTCTCACTCATATTCCACCTCAGATCAAAGATTGGGGATCATTGTGGTGGGAGAAATATGGATACAATCCATCTTCCTTTTTTCCCCTCTACAGAAGGACTGTGGCTGCAGAAAATGGAGAGGGGAGAAGGCTCAGATGGGCTAAGGGAAGTGCAGGGTTGGTGGGCATCATGTACCTATCTTAAACTTATCCAAATATTTCTTCCCTCTAATGGGTGAGCCGAGTTGTACAGTGCTGTCCCCTTCACCAATAAGGCCCTTCTCCCCTGGCTTCCAGGAGAGTCTGTCATTCAAATCTTGGTGAAGACTTTCCTCCCTGCTCCTTGCCTCCCCGGGGGTGGAGTTGATCTGTACCTTCATTAGGGGTGTCTGCATACCAGTCTCCCTGCTGGGCTGTCAGCTCCCCAGACTTTAGTCCCAACCTCCTCATTTTGGTCTTCACAGAGATTAGTTTAGTGCCCAACAGAGAAAACTCAACAAATGGACCCATGCGCTTGTCATCACTTTCTTCAGCCACAAGACTACCTTCCTTAACCAAATATTTGCCTGCCTACCACAGCATCCCACCTCTACAAAACCATCTCAGGCCCATCCACCCACACTCAGACTGAACACTTTCATACTGGCTGCATGTCCACTGTTCTCCCAGCATTCATAAGGTTGCCAAAGAGCAGCTACAGCTCACGAATTAAGGGTATAGGTTACCAATATTCCAATCCCAATACCTCCAAGTTACTAGCTGTGTGACCTTGGGTAATTAATTAACCTCTCTGTGCTTAGGTATGAAATGGGGGAAATGGTACTTAGTCATAAAATTATAAGTTTAGAGGGATTAATGCATGTACTGTACTTTGGAGCAGCGCCTGGCACACAATAAGAACTCAGGTGTTAGCGGTCCCATGTCAAGCCTCTTCCACAAGGGTGCAAACTCTTCAAGGGCAGGGTTTGCCTTCTTCGTGTCCTGCATAATCCCTGTAATTCCTATAGAAGCTGATCCACCCCACAAAGTTCACAGGAAAGACAAGCTGTGTTTTACCACAGTGGTAGCAGATTAATAGGCTAGAAAACTTGTTAAATCAGAAAAGCTACTGCCCAAAAAAGACACCACAAAAAAACTCAAAATAAATGCAAAATTTAATGGGGGGGAGAAAACAAGTACAAAGTGAATGGAAAGGAACAAAAACAGTCAATGAATGAAGGAGTAAATGAATTGACAAGGGGTGCGTTTTTAGAAAAGCATGTTAACGTAACAGACTAGCAAGCCACACTTCCCTCAGGCCCCTTATCCAGTAAAATGAGCCCCACTTAACAGGGAACCCACACAGAGGCATGAAAACATTCATGCAGTCAGTCTGCACCGTTACAAACCACCTAGGCTCCAGTTCCCCATAACTGGGGTGACCATACTTCCCGGTTTGCCTGAGATAGTTCTGGCTTATGCCTGTTGAGCTGGAATAATTAACAGCATCTCCTTTCACTCACTTTCACCTCTCAGTTTGGACAATAAATTATATGGTGATTCTACCCCAAACCAACTTGATTCTTGAAAGACAAATGCCAGCATGATCCCACTGACAGCCCAAATAATGCCAATCAATGATACTGAGAAACAAAAGGAGGGGGAAACAGACTCTGCGGGCAGGGGCCACATTCCATGAGGGGTAGCCAGTTAAATAATGGCAAGTTTTAAACTCACCTTGTGCACCAAGGATTAATTTGGTCTCAGCTAGTGATGACAAAATTCCAAACACAAACAGCGCAGGGAAAGAAGTGTAGTGAGGTTCGCCAAAGCTAATGAAACCTGTGGAGGCAGCTCAGACCCCAGAAAGTGCAAGTGGAACCAGCCACCATCTGGCCTTCCAGCGTGCCCCGGGAGTGGCCCGCCGGCTATGGTGGATGGGTGGCAGAATCTGCCCACTCGAGTCCCCAAATGGGCTCATGAACCAGGAGTCCTCATTTGTTATAAAACCAGTGAACCCACTGGGTCATCAAGCTTCATCCTCAGAAATACATTAGCTGACAGCGGCTATATCTTCAGGTCATACTTCTGCCCAAGTTTATATACTTTCACATAATGACTCTAAAGACAAGCCACATCTGCCTTAGATATGCTGACCTTGCCTGTTTGGATGCCCACATGATCACAACCAGAGGTGGATGTCCTGGGAGGCTAATGAAGCCCAGCCCTCAAGGCCCCGTACCTAAGTGTGTATTCATGTTCTTCTTCTTGAAGAAGGCTTCTCCAATAGTTCAGGTTCCTACCCCTTCAAAATCTGGATCCACTGTGGTCATGGCATAACACTAGGAGAACTTTCACTTTGAGCATCAATAACACCTGCTCTGCTCCTGGCAAGTGGAGCCCCTCGGGTGCAAAGGCTGCCTTTTTCTGGCCATGCCTCAGTGGACACAGGCGGCTCACCCCTCCTCCCCACTCTGAATGGAGCACCATCTCAGAAGGGCAGGAGGAAGCCAAGACATGGTCCTGCAAATCAATGAAGCAGGCAATGGGGGGTTCGGGGGGAGGAAGAGGACATGAAAAACAAACTATCAACCCCAAATCAATCAGCACGGCTGCCGAAGCTTCCAGCCCGGGGGTGCACTAGGCTGTGATGTCCTCGAGAGGTGGGCTGCGTGTTACTCTGGAGCCTGTGCCCAGCACAGTGCTTCATCAACGTTCAACAGAATCCTTCCCTCCTTTCATTCATTTCTCGTCTCCCATTTTATCAGCCATATTGTCAACCCTGATCCTCTGGGTGGCTTGCCAACCAACAGGAACATAGAAGAATCAATGATGCTAGTACTTTCTTAAAACAACCCCCTTAAGAATGCAGCTGAAAGGGGAAAGCTCTTTGCTGGTAGTTTTTTTCTTAAATTGTCCACAGACATCAGACACCTTCATCTTTTGCCCGGTGACTCAGCCAGGAAAAAAGGAAAGAAGGACCTTGAGATAAAAACCTCTTCCCGGCTGAGCACTTTGGGCCTTAGGAACACGCAGGACTGGTTTGGGAGTCTTAGTCCGAATAAAGAACACTTAACACACACGGAGTTGGTCCCTGTTTACAGGTAGCACCTCAGGGGCACAGACAAGGGCTTGGGGCTGCTGTTCCATTTACATTCACAGTGAAAACTCCGGACGTGGTCTTGTTCATGCTCCGCTTTCATCCGTAAAGAAATTCCAAACACTGTCATTACAGGCTGTTTATTACCACCTCTCCCTGTATATGATAGGGATACTTTTACATAAAAAAGGCTGAGATGTTTTTAGTTTTTAAAAATCGGGGTATCTGTGTTACGTATGAAAATAATGGGAGAGGGTATTATTTGTCTTTACGCTTGTGACAAAATAAAGATTTAGAAGTGTTTTAAAAGTTGTTATGGAAATTAAACTCTAGGTTAGAAAAATTAAAACAAAGTGAATCGGGCAAATTTTTGCAGCATGTATACCACACCACACGGCCACACCTAAGGCACCACATGAGTTGCCATCTTGACGCTGAACAATTAGGCCGAGCATCGCCGGCGGGGCCTTCGCTAGAGCGGCACATAACTGCTCCGTCAAGGAATAGTGACACTGTAAATGGAAGACCAGCCACTGGCTCTGAAAAAAATAAGCCTCGTCAGTTTGGGATTCCAGCATTCGTATGGCTTTGTCATGTTTGCATAGAGAGGGGGGTGGCCTGCCAGGCCCGGCACAGCCTGGGGCGGGGGTGGGGACAGAGCAAGGCTGTAAACACTGGAGTCTGTACCGGCTCCCAGTCCGTCCTCACACCATGTTATGGGAGAAGGGTCACAAGGTGTAACTCAAGCAACTTAACACATGAAAGTCTAAAGTCCGCTCTTGACATGTAAGTCTGTGCGTGCGTTAACTGAAAAATAAAAATAAAACAAACAGAACAAAAACAGACA